CCTTCCAACTTGCACTAGAGTGAATTTTTAGGAAGTCGAAACGGTTGGGCGTTGTCGAGATATCGAGGGTATAGAGTTTCATCAAGTGACATGACTCCTGCATCTACCTGCTATAGAATAACCTGGGGTGTACTGATCCTATCAGCTGTGTATGTAGGTGCTGAGGAATGGGATGACTACTGTCGGTACCGCAACGGAGTTGATAGCACGTGTGCGATCACCTCCGATGGAGAGATGAGATGCACTCCGGCTGGTCCGGCTTGTGGCACTTTTGAAAGCTACGTCGTGAGCGAGACAGCTACAACAACTGTTCCTTCATCAGGGCCTGATATCAACCAGATCAGGAGTGATTGTGACCGCTACTGCCAAGTGGTGAACGATGACGAGAATTCCTATTGTAAATGGTGGCTGGAATATGCTGTGTGCATCGGTGGCGACCAACCCTGCGGTACGGCAGCTCTCTGCGGAATTCCGGTTGATGATAATCCTCCCGGTGGGCCCGAAGGCGACGGTCTGTATTATGCTGACTGTGACGCGATGTGTCAAAGCTTGAACAATGATGAGGGTTCCTTCTGCAAATGGTGGTTGAACGTTCCAGTGTGTAAACAAGGGAATCAGCCCTGTGGCGATGTTGAAGCATGCAAGTCTCAAGATTGGGCAGAACCCCAAACGACGCTCCCGAGTGTGGAGGAGTTCAGCGGGCATCCTCATCATTCACCAGCTTGTGATTCGTACTGCCAATCGTTGAACGACGATGACAGCTCCTATTGTAAGTGGTGGAAAGCAGAGCCTGTTTGCCGCGGAGGCGACCAACCGTGTGGTCCGGTCAGCTGTAGTTCTGAAGCGTCCCAAACTACGGTCCTGCCTCAAGATCGCCATTCTGGACCTGATCTCAACTGTGATGCTTATTGTAAGGATCAGAACCCCGCATCAACTGATGATGAGTCGTATTGTAAATGGTGGTTGCATGTCCCTGTGTGTAAGAGCGGCGATCAAGTGTGTAGTCCATCTATATGCAGACAGTACTCTACTTCTGCTCCATAGTACTCTCACGGTACTATATTATACTCTCTATATTCTATATTTTGT